TGTGTTATAAAAAAAAAAAGTTAAAAATTCCAATTCTGATTAAATGTTATTATTAATTCCTAAAGATCGATTCATATAACCAAAGATCGTTCAGGTTTCTACATCAGCGTTTCTCAGAACAGCAGTCTGCTGGTAATGATCGAACATGACTCTTTTTTAGCATATTTCATGAGTCAAGAACTATAAAAACATAAAACTCATGCCTTTCAGAATATGTCATCAACTGAGACTCACTCTGGGTGTGCTTGCAGGCAGATGAACATGCACTCCCACCCCATCAGCTGGGGTGAGGTCTAAGTTTTCTGAAAGATTAAAAAACAGCTGTTTTGTCAAACCAAAAGGGCGTCATGATTTTTCTGAGGCTCTGACCCACATGCAGCGAAGCCAAACAGAGAGACACAGAATAAAGTTCAACGGGTTTTATTGAAGGTTATTTTGAGTTCGGTGCAGAGTTCCTCCGAACTCTGCTCAGCCGAAAACTCGAAGACAAGGGGAAGACAGACTGTTAGATTCAAGCTCAGTGGGAAATTAATCTTGAAGGAGATGATTTGTTGCTGGAAGGGAGAAACACAAAAGACAAGACAAACAGACAAACACAAAACTGGGATCCTTACAAAGGGCAGATGGTCCATTTTTTATTCTGTCACATAAAATGTATTATATGCCCACCCACCATGACTACAGGCAGATCAGCAGGACATCTCAAAGGGTCAATCTAAAAGTGCTCAATACAGAGAAAAGTTGGAAACAAAAATTAGAAAATTAAAAATTAGAAAAACAGAAATCTACAGCACAACATCCATACACAAAATATCCTGGTGGGAACCATATGATTAAAAAAACAAAAAAAAAACCAAAGAAGCATTTTCCACTGTCCTTAATTTCCTGATAAAGTTTGATATAATCTAAGAATTAATATTTTGTATTACTAACATCTTTAATAGATTTGCATAACAGCTAAAAACAACTGTTTTTACTATGAGCCATCAGATTTAAGTTGCGACCAGATGTAAAAGAATTATTCTAAACCTTGAGAATGGGCATTGAATAAATTCTTGATATCTAAAATTGACCCAGCCCAGGTAGGGTGTTTCTCGGGTAAAAAAAAAATGTATAAAAAGAATTGCCTTGATAGAAGTTATTGTCTTCCTACAAAACAAAGGTATTATCTTTATCTTTCCTTAACTCTAAATCAAATCACTAAAAGTAACAGCACAGTTTCTCTTTTAAAAGTGAAGCTGATCCTGCCTACTGGGAAAACATCTCCATTAAAAATGTTTTTCCAGAATTCAAGCTTCCTAGATGTATTTTATTTTCACTCCACAACAAACTCTGTCCTACATAATGTATGATATTTATCAATCTCTACAGAGGACATATTGATACTAAATGAAAACGTAAATCTAATTCATTTACCAACATAGGCGGATCTACTGGGGTGGCATAGGGTGGCAAATGCCACCCTAAATGACAGCCCTACCACCCCTGCTGCCACCCCAGTTGGAGGTAGGGGTGGCGAGGCTTATAAATTATGGATAATTTGAGAATTACGACCGCTAATTTCCAATGTCGGACTGC